GAGCTGGGGCCCCCAATACAGCTCTCAGTCCCCAACTGCCACGACAGTGTCTCGCCCATTCCTCTCCTCTGATCAGGCATGGTCACAGATTCCTCCACAACCACCTTGTAAGTGTTGGTTTCCTGGGTTCTGTCCTCTTAGTTCCCTCATCTGGTCAGCTCAAGGCTTCAAATGACGCTGTTTTGCTGACAGCTCCCTGACCTGCCTCATGAGTCCCAGCCCTGTCTGCCTTGCACCTCTTCTCACTGGCAATCTCTACCTGAGTGTTTCGCTCCACCTCAAATGAAAACCACCCCACACTGAAGGCATCCTATACCCTGATCACACTACTTCCTCCTTCTCCCTTATGAACTCATGGCAAGAGCCCTCTCCACTCTCCATACTAGCTTCCTGCCTCCATGACTGCAATAAGCTCTGTAAAGTTTCCCACCTCTAGTTTTGCCTCACTTTAAATCTATACCCTAGGATGCTTCCAAATTGACCATTCTTACTAAATTCAAATCACTTAAGAATTTCATGAATAGCCAGGCATGGTGGCACACACCTGTAATCCCAGCTACTTGGGAGGCCAAGGTGGAAGAATTGCTTGAGCCCAGGAGTTTGAGACCAGGCTGGGGAACATAGTGAGATTCCATCTCAAATTTAAAAAGGAACTTCATGAATATATTCTTTGTGAAAAATTAAAACATTATAAAGAAATAAAGTCCCCTTTCATCAGACCCATTCTCAATCCCATTCCAAATGTAACTAGTGTTACCAGCTGTGTCCTCCTTTCTCTCTGACTTATCTGCACATTAAGAATATAGACACACATACACTCAACTTTCATTGAACATAAATGGTGACATGTCATAATTATTGTCTATAACTTGCTTTAGGCCTTAACGTGTCTTGGAATTCTGTTCACATCAGCGGGCTCTTTTGTTTTCACTGTGGCAATATCTGCCAGAGTAAGGATACACATAGCTTCTTCTGCCTTTCTTCTATTGAAGGACATTTAAATTGTTTCTGATTCAGATGAATTTTTTAAGATACCAAGGACCGTATGATTCTCTGTTTAAATCCTTCAGTGACTTCCAGTCTTCCACCAGACAGCACACATCTCCTAGAACTGGACCAGAGCATTTACTACGTGGCCCTTTGCCAGCTTTCTAGGCTCATTTCCTTCCTCACCTCTTTTCCCCAAATGCATACCCTAAGCTTTAGCCAGAATTAATTACTTGCAATTCCTTAAATACACTGTTGAATGAATACATAAAAATGCAGCCCTCTTCTGAAACAACAGGATAAAAGAAGAGGTTCTGAGAGTTTCCTTTGTGAAGTGATTAAAAGAGAATAAGCAGAAGCTCATGTCTAGGAGCCTTCCTTTTCCTCACCACTTCCTGAGGACCCAGAACCCTGAAGGGAGTTTCCCAATTAAACTCCAGGCTGCAGCTCCTCTTATTGACCAGAATGCTGCCTACAGCGATTCCCAGGCATCTCAGACCCTCCTACTCACCTAGAGAGGGTCTGCCAGGACTTTCTCTCTCTACCTTCCACGGATCTTCTCCTTGCTGCAACAGTGAGATCACTTTTGGTTTGGTCAATGGGAGTCCTGCTCATAGACAAAAAACATAATAACATCAACAACAACAAAAAAAAACAACAAAAATCAGAAAAAAAGCCCAGAAAAAACGCAACTTGGTTTTGTTTTGACACAAAGAGGTACTCCAGATTTAATAGGATGGTACAAAGAGCTTCTGTGGGGTGCTCAAATTATGCTGTCATGCTGTGAGAGGATGTCTTAAGGAAAAGGCAAGTGACTTGTAGGAGCTGACTTTGGTATAATTAATCGTATGCTAAGGAGGTATGATGAACATGCAGCCTTGGTAACTAGCAGGGTACCACTAGCTTTCCACAGAACAGGGAATGTTACATATATAGACTAATTAAAAATTGTAAGCAGGCAACTGTGGAAAGGATTATGTACCAGGCAGCTTGTTTAAAATGAGAAAATATTCCCTTTCAAGGAAGCACAGTGGTTGGCAAACTACAGGTTGTGGCCTACATCCAGACCACCACCTGTTTATGTATGGCCTTGTGCAAAGAATGGTGGAGGGAAAAAGAGAAATATGTTACAAAGACCATTTTATGTGGCCCACAAAGCCTAAAATCCTTATTACCTGGCTCTTTATAGAAAAAGTTTGCCGACCCCTGGAAAAGACAAGTAGGAAAGGCAAGCGGTAGGTCCAGAGGTTGATCAAAGCCCAATTTAGAGGTGAGCAAACAAACCACAGAACAATCATTGTGGGGAAATGATGCCCTAATCATGAAGAAACTTCTAATGTGCAATTATACAAAGGGAAGGGATGATTAGCAACACCACCTTCTCCATTCCCATATGTGGGGCAATTCCATGCCCATAAGGGGGAATATGCTTGTAATCTTTATTTTTAGAGATCTGATTTGTATAATCCTCAAACTCAGCTAAAGTTTTTTGATGACCTGCAGCTCTTACTCAGGGAAGGAGGTGCTGAGATGCTGCAATTTGTGTATTCAGTAACTGCAGGGGAAATGTCCTTACCCAGAGAGACCAGGTGACTATAGTTCTCCAGCATCACCTCTCGGTACAAGTTTCTCTGAGAAGGATCCAGCTTTCTCCACTCATCCCGACTGAAGAGCACAGCCACATCCTCGAACATCAGTGACACCTGCAAGGACGAGCCATTCCAGCTCACCCAGACCACCCCTCACAGAGTGAAGAGGGAAGCAGTAGAGGAGGCACACAGGGCACCCATGAAATGCTTCTGATACTATTCAAGGTCCTGAAAATTCCAGGCCATTTGTTTAATGAACAATTGACCAGTGACAAATATTAATATATACTGAGCAGCATGAACCAGGCCTTGTGTTAGCCACCATAAGGGATGTGTATAGGGATTGAGGCCACTAGTGGGAGTGTTAATTAGAATAATCTTACTGATGGTGATTTGAAAATGCATATTAAAAAGCTTATAAATGTGTATATTCTTTAACTCACCAATTACTGTATTTGTACTATAATGAAAAGTGCAGAAAAGTGCAAATACAAAGATACCACCATAGTGTTTGTAATAGAAAAAAAATGGAAACAACCTAAATACGCACTGATGGAGACCAGGTAAAATAATTACAGCACTATCTTTCTGCTTACTCAGAATAGTTCTCTTTTACTGAATGTTTTACATAGGCTACA